AAATGATGCTCGAGATGGTTCAAGTTCGTATAGCAACAGGCGTGACCAGAGTGGTTTGAACGGCTGTTGTACTGCGATGTGGAAAGCAAATGGAAAAACTACCACATTATCACTTTTCCTGGATAGTCTCTTTCCAAAAACAGAAGATCGCATTAAGTGGAGAAACTGTTTTGGAAGAGACTGTGGACCTGTCGTCTGACAGATTACTGATGATGATGATGAATAACACAATGCTTGTTTTTTTTCTGCATAAATACAGGATGTTCAGTCATCAAGGAAACGGGTGTAGCAGCATGAGTCGGATACAGTATCTCTCACAGACTGCTGCTGTAACTGCCGATAGCGGATTGAGTCATCAATGCTGATAAACATGCACACTCTCGCTAGCATAGTGCGGATGGATATTTCTCCGTGACTGTTCTCTCATGTCAGTTTCAGTACATGCACACAGTATAAGAATACTGTAAAAAGATAACACAAACTTACTTGCTTTATCACAGGTGCTAAAAGTGACCCCCTTCTGCTTGCAAACATGCCTTGCATCGCAAAATAAATTATGCGATGTTTTCTGAAGTTGGTCCACAGTAATTGAACTAATTACGCATGTTATTTCATTCTGCAGAGCTTCAGTGGTGAAAGGATTATTCTGGTAGGCTTTTCCCTTCAGGTTTCCCTAAAAATAAAAATCGCAGAAACTGAGATCTGGGAGGCCACAGTCCCCTGCTGATTATTCTGCCTTCAAATACTTCCCGTATTGCAACCATGGTTGCATTAGCCATATGTGCTATATGTCTTGCTGAAAATAGCCATATTGTCTTCCTTCAGCAGTCAGCTGAGTGAAGAATGGATTCAGTATATCATTAATGTAACGGTCAGAGTTCACAGTTTCATGGAAAAATAAGGGGCCAATGATTTGCTGTGGACTTACAGCACACCACACCCCCACCTTTTCACTATGTAATGGCAATTGCTGTATAGTGTGAGGATTTTGATTGCTCCATATTCTTACATTTTGTGCATTGATATGGCCACTAACATGAAACCATGCTTCATCAGTCATGTATAGAAGCTGTGGATCCACAATTCCATCGTGCACATTTTGCAGCAGCCATTTGCAAAAACAAATTCTTGCTGCATAATCTGGTTATTTTATCTCATGCACAACTGTTATTTTATTGCAAAAACGAATTCCTGTTGCATAATCTGGTTGTTTCATCTCATGCACAACTGTTATTTTATTGCAAAAACGAATTCCTGTTGCATAATCTGGTTGTTTCAGCTCATGCACAACTGTTATTTTATATGGGCAAAATTTGATTAATTTTGTGGCTGTGAAAGAAGATCCTATCGAAACACCAGTTTTCTGTGCTAAGCGCCATAACGATTTTCGAAGACTGATCTGTAGTTGTGCCACAGTATCCCAAACTTTTTCTTCAGTCAGCAGAGTCCCCTTCGATTGCTTCTTTATGTCACACACTGAATCTGTGGCCCCCACTTTTTCACAAGTTTGGATACACATGACTTTGTGGGAACTGGTGCGTCAGGATATTTACGATGGAACTTACTGCTACATTTTCTGTAACTAGTTTCCTTGCCAAAGTTTTGACAATAAACACACGCTGTTCAATAGTGAGCTTCATTTCAGTACACATGTCGACTGCCTATCAAAATCTCTAACACAGGCTGATTATTACTGGGACTTAATTGTAGTGACAGGATCATGCCACCCGACCATGCACGTTTATCAGTGCTAATGACTAATTCTGCTATCAGCAGTTACAGCAGCAATCTGTGAGGAGTGTTCTTCCTG